CAGCGTCGCCCACAGGGAATTGTCGTCCACGTAGGTTCGCGCGCCGGAAGCCATCTTGCTCGCTAACCTGAGAAAAAAAAAACAGATAAAAAGGAAAAAAAAGTAAAAAAAAAAAAAAGAGGGAGAGAAAATGAAAATGTGGAAAATATTGAACAGAAAAAATAAATGCAGAGAAAAAGGAATGAGAGAAAATGAAAAAGTGGAAAATATAGAACAGAAAAAATAAATACAAAATAGAATGAGAGAAAATGAAAACGCGGAAGAAATAGAAAAGAAATAAATACAAAACAGAATGAGAGAAAATGAAAACGTGGAAGAAATAGAAAAGAAATAAATACAAAACAGAATGAGAGAAAATGAAAACGAGGGAAAAAATATAAAAAAGAGGAATATAAATACAAACAAGAATGAAAGAAAATAAAAAGAGGAAATGAAAGAAAATTAAAAAAGAAAACAAAATAGAAGCACATAAAAAATGAACATAAATACAAATAAGAATGAAAGAAAATTAGAAAGAGAAAGGAAATGAAAAGGACGAAAAAGAGAAGGGAAGTAACAAAAGAAAAAAAATAGAAAAAAAAAGAGAGAAAGAAATAAAGAGGAAAAAAAGAAAGAAAATCGGAGGAAAAAGGAATATAATTTAAAAATATATAAAATAAAAAGTAAAAAAATAAAGAAAGGGAAAGAAAATAAGAAAGAGAAATAAGAGAAAAAAAAGTTTAAAAAAATGATATTGATGAAATAAAAGGTTTCAATAAGAAATTATAACAACAGATAACTATGATGATAATGGTAAGAAAATGAGGGAAGGAAGGAAGAAATAGGAAGATGGAAGAGTAAGGAAGAGGAATGGCGAAATAGGAGGATGGAGGAGGAGGAAGGAGGAAGGACAAAATAGGAAGGAGCGAGGATGGAGGAGGGAGGATGGAGGAGGAGGGAGGATGGAGGAGGAGGGAATAAAGAGGTAGGAGGAGGAACGAGGAAGGGAGGAGGAACGAGGAACGAGGAAAGACGGAGTACGAAGGACGAACGGGGGAATGGGGAAGGGGAAGGAGGGAGCACGAAGGGGAAGGGGAAGGAGGGAGCACGAAGGGGAAGGGGAAGGAGGGAGCACGAAGGGAAATGGGAAGAGAAGAGGAGGAAGGAGGAGGATGCGAGAGAGAGAAGGACCCTAACCTAATGACCCAGGCTTTCGAGTACACAAAAGCCACTCCACAGCTGATAAAACCAAACGAAGTAATAATTCGTAAAACAACAACAACAAAAAAGAAAATTCCAAAGTTGATACAGCGCTTCTGAAGCCGTTTAACAGAAAAAATAAATAAATAAAATAAAATAAAAATCAATTTAGACGATGCAAAGTAAAACAAATTGCTTGAAGTGAGTACAGTGGCTGATAACATGCCCCTGACTTGTTAATTCGTGTTTGCAGGGACGACGAAGCTACCTGACTAAATAAATGTTCTAGAAAAAGCTCTTAAAAGGGGAATGTTGTACCTATTCCCTACAACTGAGTGGCAGAAACACCGTGACCGTGTGTTCATAATGAATAGAATAGTTACCTCTCAAATATCAAAGAAAACTGCAGTAAAAGATTACAGGGTAACTAACTTATATTTTCTCGATACACTTCATAACAGGCAACTAGCTTATTATCTTTTTTTTTCAAACACCTTCCATTCTTTTACACTAATCAGAACCCTCGGGAACATTGATTAATAACAATAATACTAATTACTTTATATCATCATATTCACTCAAGAATACAACATGCAAAAAAGAAGAAAGAAGAAGAAAAAGAAGAAGCTGTTAAATGTACCCAATATAATGGAAGATTTGAAGATAAAGTCACCATGTTATCGAGAACATATACACACAAATGACTTCAAGAGTGACATTTCCTCTTCAGCATATATATCAACACAACGAAAAGATAGTCGACAGCGCAGGTACCTTTAACTAATACAATTTAGCTACAATCCTGAAATAAAAAATCTACAATATCTAAATTTCTAAAATATATGCATTTCAAACCTACAAGAAAGCCATCGAATAGAGCTCAAAACTCATTTTTAAAAAAATAAATGAAGGTACAACGATATTCTATACACTAATAAAAAAAATCTCATCCCAATCATTATTCACAAAAAATACGATACTAATTCTAACAGATAAGCTAATAAGTTCTGTTAATTCATCGGTTTCATATTTCCACCAAGAAAGAGAAAAGTACTATACATTGAGTTCACACAAGAGAAAGAAAGTAGGCCTATAGTCGACTCATACTACTATAGTACTACAGCTAGTTCCCATTCAACTTCTTTTTTACTACGTGAATACTACTACTCGGTATATGTAACAGGAAAGTATAAACGCAAGAAAAACGGATCGAAAAAAAGTGAAACAAATGAAAAACAAAATAAAAATATTATGAAACTCATATTTTAAGATTACCAAATTACGCCCGGGGTGGTGGTGATGATGATTGATGACGATGATTGATGATATTGATGACGATGATGTTGATGATGATGATGACGATGGATGATGATGACGATGGATGATGATGACGATGGATGATGATGACGATGGATGATGATGGTAATGATGATTCATTGAGTAAAATCAATTGACAACAATTGCAGCAATATTTTCCAATAGCTCATTTCTTGGCATCCAAATTTTGAAGAATCTCATTCAACAAATTAATACGACATTAATTCTATAACGAAATCTGAGTCAGTTCACCATACATTTTAGTATTTACATAAATACTAAAATAAAAAAAGAAATCGGTTTAATATTTGTTCAGAATAAAATGCAAATGTACTAATTATGTTGTGAAACTCGAATTAATGTAACACATGTGAGATCAGGGAATATACTAGCAGTAGTTCTTATAAATTCGTTAAAACAGGAGTTATAACACTCCACATCCTTATTATTAGTAAAGCGGACCACCTATTCATAATTCATTATTAGTCCAGCAGATATAATACAGAGATCAATTGACTACATCTTTTTAACATATTCAGTATTGATTACTTTGTACTTTCTTTCTTTTTATCATCATATCATCATCACCACCATCACCATCATTTCCATCATCAACACCATCAATCATCATCATCACCACCACCACCAATCATCATCACCACCACCAATCATCATCAATACTCATCATCCCGCGTTTAATGAATATCATTCAATTTCATTCATTATCCCTCTACTTCAATCCAAGCAAATCAACCCCACAGCACTAACGTCTAACAACAACAAGAAATCAAACCCCCGTACATGAGTCCAGTAGAAGCTAATCCAGAGACGATCCATGCCTGTAGATTAGGAAACATGAAGAGCAGGCTTAGTCCGGCCACCAGTACCCCCGTCACGACCGTTGGCATCGCAGCGGAGAGATTCTGGTTCGAAATGGATGGTGGGGGCGGTTAAATTTTAACGGTTTTAACGACTTTAACGTTTTTTTTGGGGGGAGGGGGGGTGGGGGGTGTAAAAAGGATGTAATGGGCAGTAGGTAAAATGTAATAGGTAATTTTGTGGGGGTAAAATGTAACAGGATGGATTTTTTTTTTTTTTTTTTTTTTTTTTTTTTTTTTTTTTTTTTAGCTTACGGATTATGATTTGAATAGGAAAAAAACATATATAGGTCACCACCATCCTTGTGTTTTACGATTGGTATCGTAGATAATAAATTCTGGATGGATATAAAGGTGGTGACGGTTGTTTTTAACGGTTTTACTGACTGAAAGACTGAAAAAAAGGCAAAAAAGCTAGACATGAACAAGAAATAAAGAAAACAAAGGGGAATAATAAAATATATATATAATGAAAATAGGGAAAAAATAAAACCATAAGATCAAGAAAACAATAATAATAAAAAAGAAAAGGAAGCGACGCACCTGTATGCTTCGGCCCGTCTTCTCCACGGCCGAGGCGGAGTACCCGAGGCCCCCGCCGACGAAGGTCATCGCCATCCCGAAGACGTCGACGACGGAGGACACGCCCGTCACCAAGCCCTTCACGATGTTGGGGATGAACGAAACCACCTGTGGGCGTGGTGGTGGTGGGGGTGGGGGGAACGTTAAGCCAAATAGTAGATTTTGGTTTCGTCTGGTGTTGGAAGGGAGATGATGATGTTGGTGCTGGTGTTGATGTTGATGTTGATGTTGGTGTTGGCGTTGATGTTAGCGCTAACGGGGGTGTTAATATTGGTGTTAGCGTTAACGGTGGTGTTAATGTTGGTGTTAGCGTTAACGGTGGTGTTAATGCTGGTGTTGATGTTAATGTTGGCGTTAATGTTAATGTTGGCGTTAATGTTAATGTTGGCGTTAATGTTAATGTTGGCGTTAATGTTAATGTTGGCGTTAATGTTAATGTTGGCGTTAATGTTAATGTTGGCGTTAATGTTAATGTTGGCGTTAATGTTAATGTTGGCGTTAATGTTAATGTTGGCGTTAATGTTAATGTTGGCGTTAATGTTAATGTTGGCGTTAATGTTAATGTTGGCGTTAATGTTAATGTTGGCGTTAATGTTAATGTTGGCGTTAATGTTAATGTTGGCGTTAATGTTAATGTTGGCGTTAATGTTAATGTTGGCGTTAATGTTAATGTTGGCGTTAATGTTAATGTTGGCGTTAATGTTAATGTTGGCGTTAATGTTAATGTTGGCGTTAATGTTAATGTTGGCGTTAATGTTAATGTTGGCGTTAATGTTAATGTTGGCGTTAATGTTAATGTTGGCGTTAATGTTAATGTTGGCGTTAATGTTATGTTGGCGTTAATGTTTATGTTGGCGTTAATGTTTATGTTGGCGTTAATGTTTATGTTGGCGTTAATGTTTATGTTGGCGTTAATGTTTATGTTGGCGTTAATGTTTATGTTGGCGTTAATGTTTATGTTGGCGTTAATGTTTATGTTGGCGTTAATGTTTATGTTGGCGTTAATGTTTATGTTGGCGTTAATGTTTATGTTGGCGTTAATGTTTATGTTGTAATGTTTATGTTGGCGTTAATGTTTATGTTGGCGTTAATGTTTATGTTGGCGTTAATGTTTATGTTGGCGTTAATGTTTATGTTGGCGTTAATGTTTATGTTGGCGTCAATGTTTATGTTGGCGTCAATGTTAATGTTGGCGTCAATGTTAATGTTGGCGTCAATGTTTATGTTGGCGTCAATGTTAATGTTGGCGTCAATGTTTATGTTGGCGTCAATGTTTATGTTGGCGTTAATGTTTATGTTGGCGTTAATGTTTATGTTGGCGTCAATGTTAATGTTGGCGTTAATGTTTATGTTGGCGTTAATGTTTATGTTGGCGTCAATGTTAATGTTGGCGTTAATGTTTATGTTGGCGTTAATGTTTATGTTGGCGTCAATGTTAATGTTGGCGTCAATGTTAATGTTGGTGCTGGTGTTGGTGTTGATGCTGATGTCATTGTTATTTGCAAATAATTAGTATTAAATGGGAGATGTTGGTGTTGTGGCTGTTTGGAAGTAATTTTGTTGGCAATGAATGGAAGGCGTTGGTGTGGTTTAGAAATGACGTTTGTGTTATAAGGGAGGTTGAATTGTTTGAAAATAAGTACGTCTGCTTAGATTATTGTAAGTGTGCAGAGGAAAAAAAAAAGATTTATTGTATGGAGATTATTGCATTCTATTCTGAATGCAATAATAATCATTCGCAAATTGAGTGAGTTAATGAGTGAGCAAAGGATTAAGTGTTCTGACGAGTGTAAGTATAAGAATAGTGATATATATATATGAATAATATATATATATATATATATATATATATATATATATATATATATATATATATATATATAAGTATAGTGGATATATAAGTATAAGACTTAGTATAATAAATATATGAGCAGAAGAATCTTCTTTGATCTGATAGGATTTGAAAAAGAAATCTGTATGGTTATATTACATTAGAAATATCTGTAGATGTATAACTTGGTGGAAGACAAAGTACAGATACAGATACTATATACTTTATAAAATTTAAATAGTTTCCTTTATACAACTTATATTTTTCCTTTATGTAATTTATATATTTTATTTTGTATAATGTATTTGATTTCCTTTATACAATCTATATAATTTACTTTATATAACTTGCATAATATACCTTACATAATTTACTTAATCTAATTTAATTTATATAATCTATATACGACATACACTTCCCAAAATTACGGATTTTGAAGTTTATACATTAGCTCCAACTCTCTCCCTTCTTATCGAAACCCGAAACGTGGCGTAAAACACCCGTAGAATTTATCGCAGGCTTCCTTATACATTTCCTCCCCTTGAAGCTACGACGCACTCGACCTGCCTCTCCCGCGAGTCTATATCAACACCATCTGCTGGGACAACACCTGCTGGACCTGCCTGGACATCACCACGTTCTGGGACAACACCTGCTGGGACAACCTACAACCCCACAACCTGCCTCTTCCTTCAAAATAACCTTGAACTACGCAGATGGAACGAACCCAATGACCTCCCGTCTCTCATGAACCAAACCTCGATCTCCCCACGAATTGGAACAACTTACAACCTGGCCTTCTCACGACCTGGAACTAGAACACATGACCTGAACAACCAACAACCCGAACAGCCTACAACCAACTCTCTCCCACGACCCTCCCCAATACGTGGAACAACCTACAACCTGAACAACTCTCAACCTGCCCTTCGCCACAACCCTCAAATCAACTTCCCCCCACGACCTGGAACCAACGATACAACCCCCACACGGCCAAGAATCCACAACCTTACCCCCCCCCCCTCTCACAATCCCTCACCCCAACCCCAAACAACCTCCCCTTCACAACCCTCCCCCCACCCCCTTCACAACCCACCCTTCCCCTCCCCCTAACCCCCTCACAACCCTCCCCCTCCCCTTCTCAATCCTCCCTCCCCCTCACAACCCTCCCCCTCCCCTTCTCAATCCCCCCTCCCCCTCACAACCCTCCCCCTACCCCCTCACAACCCACCGTTCCCCCCTACCCCCCTCACAACCCACCGTTCCCCACCCCCTACTCCCCTCACAACCCTACCCCCCCCCCCTTCCCCCTACCACGGCCTACCTGCCCCGCCAGCGACGCCGTGGAGGCCAGCGGATACAGGAACACGGAGAGGTCCCGCGCCTGTCGTCCGGCCGCCCTGACGATCCTGCGCAGCTCCCTGGCGTGGCCCACCTTCTGCGGGTTCCACTCGGCCACAAAGCCGGCGAGCATGGAGCCGAGGGCGTCTGCGAGAGAGAGAGGAGAGGGTGAGGGGAGTGGGAAGTTGGGGTGGGGGGTGGGGGTGGGTGATGTTTGTTTGTGTGTTTGTTTGTTTGTTTGTGTGTTTGTTTGTTTGTTTGTGTGTTTTTGTGTGTTTGTTTGTTTGTTTGTTTGTGTGTTTTTGTGTGTGTTTGTTTGTGTGTTTTTGTGTGTGTTTGTTTGTTTGTGTGTGTTTTTTGTGTTTGTTTGTT